TTTCACAGCCAGATAATAAATTATTTTCCAAATAATTTCCGTTATTGGCTGCTTCGCATCCAATAACTATACATTATATAAACGTTCATGATCCTGCCCTAACGCCCTAACCATAGCCTAAAGTGGTTCTAACCCTAAAGTTAATTCAATAAAATATTAATTTATATAAGTTATCTTCGTTTTAAACGTTCCCTAAAAAAAGGAAATTTGAGAAATTCAGTAAATTTTTTCAAATTTTGGCAAAAAAAAAAATAAGCATTTTTGGCGCAAATTTAGATCTGAACTATCTATGTATAGCTCGGGTCCTACGTATTAAAGATTCCGTCTTTACTAAATATAAACGGCGTATCTAAATTTCCAACTAAATAAAGAAATAAAACAAAACGTCTGCCGCATGTTACTTGTAACAATACGTATTAGGAAATTGATTTCACAAAGCCACATTTCTAAAGGATCAAGTATGAGAATTCGCTTTATAAAAATAAAATTTTATTCAATGCCTGCAGCCAAAAATTCTAATCTCAAGCTCGATCTTGTTTGTGTTGTTTCACTAAAGTTGTATGGACAGAACTTGTATAAAAAATCTATTTGTTCGTTAAAGGGAAAAATATAATGAGGGTCTAGAAATCCATGTGTTGATCACAATATTTTTATTTTATCACTCGATTCTTCTATAACATATAATATAAAATGGTTTCTAATTTTAGTTCTTCGGTATTTCAAGAGAAGTAAAATAATAATAAGCTTTAAAGGTATAAAAGGCATTTGATCTAAACTAACCTTATGCCTTCAATTGCATCAAATAATTGATAGCAAAATAATCCTTATTCCAAATTATTAGAAATTTTTTTAAACAGCATCGATGCATCAATTCTTTACTCTTTCAGTATTCTTGACCCTTGTCGCGTTTACTTTGTCCTTTCCATCATCTAATTTTAGACGTGACATCGACTTTACTCGATGCGAAGGCACATTTCCAAATGAAATTACAGCTGCCGATTACAACCCTAACCCAGCGATCCCTGGAACAAACATGTCAGTTACTATCTCAGGAAAAAATACGGTAACAGTTCAAGAAGGGGCTACGTTAAACGTCACAGGACTTTACCAAGGAGCACATGCTTTTGAGCATGTCATGGATTTTTGTAAAGTATGGGTTGAAGTAAACGGTGATAAATGTCCTGTTGCACCCGGGGATTATAAGTATATTGCCTCTCTACCTATTGAATCACATCCAAATGATCCAAAGAATACTACTATTGAGTATGATTTTATATTGAAAAGTACGTATCGCTTTTATTTTTAAGGAGGTCTATTATATTATCATCATTATAAAAATGGTCATTTATGTATTTAATTATTTGTTATTTCTAGTTTCGAATCCTCAAACAGATCTGTCTTGTATTCAAGGAAAATTTTATGTTTCTTATCCGTAACTAACTTCGTTACATTATTATTTTATCATTTATTATGTTTCTTTCAATTTTGCTTTCGATATAAATATGTTCAAATTGCTTGACTAAATATTAGAGTTTGTTTCATAAATAAAGTTTACGTCATAATATATCAATTGATTTTGGATTATTATCTGCATATTTAATTGATATGCTATATAGAAAGTTTCTTTTTACCCCGTAATATGCCAAAAATTTCATTAATTATAAAACTTGTTCTCTTGAACTTGATGTTGATTGCTAAATCAATAATCATGAACTTATATGACACTATGTGATATTACAAAGCAAAACTACGATAGTTATTGCATCAGTATCAACTCGGCCTAATGAATAATAAACAAGAAGCTACATTGAAAATAATATTATAGTATATTTGAATGTTGATAATGACTTTTATTTATAAATTTATAGAAAATAGTTGAATTTCATTTTAGTTTAAAGCCAGTATAGACCAGTCTACATCAGTTGGCTGAAATTTCAAATCCACGTTTCGCGATAAATTTTCAGTGAAATTATTATAAGGATCACTTCAATTAATCACAATGATCATTCAGTACACGAACCTAATATTATATTTGTTTAAAAAAAAATTTACGCCTCTAGGTTTAAATTTAAAATGCAGCTTTAACGCATTTACTATTAATTATCAATTTTAAACTTATCGTTTATGTAATCATTATTCATCATATAATATTCTATATAGCGGAATCGATAAGTTGCTAATATCGGAAACTTACTAACTTAATATTAACGGTAAATCTAGATTCAGATATTAACATTGATTCAGGTTTTATACTAGCATGCAGGAACTGCGCCAAAAACGAAAATCTATGCAGATTTTGTCGTCTCATTGAATTCAATGATGCGCAGCATTTAGATCGAAAATTCTTTAGAAATTACTATGCTTTTTTTACCATTGCATGCATCACGCAGTTATTAATACAAGAATATTTACTATTGAACATAAATAATTCTTTTAGGTTTAAAAGTATAAAATGAAAAATAAGAGAAATACAGTTTAATTGTTTCTGTTGTAATCATAATTAGGTTCGTGAAAAATAATCATAACACAATAACTGATATAATTAAAATTGTACTTTAAAAATATGAGTCAAGATCCAAGCATAATTGAAAAACATCAAGAGGATTTAAATAATGATGCCAAAATTCGTGAATTTTGGATTAAAAATGTTTGTGATCAAGATAAACAATCAAAATTTAAAACTAAAGAAATTTATGACTTCATTATCGTGGGTGCTGGTACCGCTGGATGTGTGCTTGCTAGAGAACTGATTCATGGTATTCCAAATATTAACATCCTAGTATTGGAAGCCGGAGGTCCTGATGTTTCTTCTAACGGTTTAATTAACTTGCCATGTGCTTCCTTTAAGGTGACATCATTAAAGTCATTTGTTGAATCGTGATAGTCATTATATTATATTAATTAATTCGTTATCATTTTTACAATATAGATCTTCCAAGTAAACGATCATGATTGGGGATATATTACTCAAGAACAAAGAATGCCAAGTTCTGTAGATCCTACTAAACAATTGGTAAAGAAAAGTTTCCCTTATGCACGAGGAAAGGTTTGGGGAGGAAGTAGCTCTTTGAATTCAATGGTTTACATGTAAGTTTCACAAAGTTGTAAATTTATTTTATCTATTTACTATATTTCTCAAAGTTATATTTTTATTTTTAGGCGAGGTCAAGCAAAAGGGTATAATGATTGGGCTGCCCAAGGTCCTGAATACAAAATTTGGGATTGGGATCATTGTCTAGAAGGTAATGACTTTGTCATTTTAATTTAAATTATTTAATTTTTACTCAGAAATATATATCTTTTAAAAGCATTTAAAGCAACAGAAAACAATTCACGAGAGAAACCAGATGAAACGTTCAAAAAATTTCATGGATTTAATGGTTTACTTCATGTACAAGATAGCCAAAGCGGGATTTACGATATTTTGTCAGGTTTGATTGATGCTGCAAAAAATCTTGGCATTCCTTATAACGATGATTTTAATGGAAAGAGACAAAATGGTGTTGGAGCATTCCAGGTGCTTTAATAATAACTTTTCTAAATTACATATTTACACTTTTTTTTTAACGCATTGACTAAATTATAGTTCACAATCAAAGACGGGAAAAGATGCTCTTTAGCCGATGGTTATCTAAGAGATGCATTAAAGAAAGTCGAGTTACATCCAGATTCCAAATATAATAGTTTTGGAAAGATTGTAGCAGTAGATGTTAGGTCATTTGCTCACGTATTAGATATTATTTGGGACGAAGAAAGTAAAGAAGAAAATGTTGCAATCGGTGTAAGATATTTTTGTAACGGTGTTATACGTGAGGCTTTTATTGCTCCAAAAGGAGAAGTTATTTTATGCGGTGGTGCTATTAATAGCCCTCAGGTAACAATATAATAATCTTTAACTAATATAAAAAATACGTTAACATAAAAATTTTACTGACGTTTTTTTTAAAGATCTTAATGCTTTCCGGTATTGGACCAAAAGAAAATCTTAAAGCAAATAATATAAAAGTTCGTAAAGAACTACCAGTTGGAAGGAATTTATTGGATCATCCGTGTTGTTGCATTGTTGCTGAATCGACTCAAGATGCAATGCACCATTGGAGTAGTGCAATTGAAGTTGGAATATTTCATAAAGCCAATGTTAAAGGGAATATTCCTTGCAAAGAAGACTTTTTTGATGAGAACCCTGATATTGAAATTACTGGTATGTTATTATACAAAATTTCTGTAATTATATTCGTTAATTGACTAATAAGGTATTATATAAATAGTGGCTTCGTGCCAAGATGGTTTTATTGATCCCGCAATAGAACTTTTTAACAAACATAATAAAAATAAGTTCAACGGAATTGCTCTACTACCTGTTCTTAACATACCATCAAGTGTTGGTTATCTAGAACTTAATAGCAGTAATCCATTTGATCAACCAAAGATAAATTTAAATTATTTTGAAAAATCCGATGATTTATATAGAATGATCAGTTCACTTAAACTATGTCGTGAAATACTTAAACAACCTCCATTGAGCACTGTTTATAATGTTAAGGAAATTGGGATTAATGATGAGTTTGGACAATGGTGCACTAATGGAGATATGAGTGATGAAGATTGGGAAAGGTTTATTTTGAATAAGGTACGTATTTAAAAATTTTTTTTTTGTTATTAATAAATACCTTTTGCACAAGTTCTTAACTTAATTTGCGCTTAGTCGATGTCGTTCCATTCGTGTGGAACTGTAAAAATGGCACCAGAAACTAAAGATGGAGTAGTTGATCATCGACTTCGAGTCTATGGTACGAAAAATCTTCGAGTTGTTGATGCATCAATTTTTCCATATATTCCAAGCGGAAACACGAACGCCCCTACAGCTATGGTTGCTTGGAGAGCGAGTCGATTAATTATTGAAGATTATAGGCTATCATAATCAGGGTTGTCAATGGACATGTTTGAATGAAGTCTTGAACCTATTACGCAAAAAAGAAATGTTAATAACTCAATTTTTCTATGTAATTGAAAATGTTTAGCGTTAATCATATGTCTATAATTTTTTAAATTCTATAAATTTTGTGTAATTTGATTGTTTAATGACTCCATGAGATCAAGAGAAAAATCTGTAACTTGATAGTTACAGGAAAGATTTACAAAGCTACAGGGGGGTTTTGGTATTCGTTGAGGAATAGTGATTTTGGATGTCCTTAGGGTGCTCACCCTAAAATGAAAAAATAAAAGCGCTTGAATTCAATTTATCGTACTTATTTGTCTTTACTGATTCAATATATTGATATGTATAATAATAAGTCTGTCATATTCTCCATTTAAATATTAAGAAATCTGCTTTAAAAATAACGCGTAATATCTACACCTGCGAACTAACAAAAAAAAATAAAAAAATAAAAAATACTTGTAAACTTTTGACGTAAGCCTCATTTTTAATGTAGATTATCCGATTGGGGTAATCAATTTTAGTGTCAAATTTGCAGTAAACAGGATAATCTTAAGGGTAGAGTGTGTTATTTTAAAAATATATATAAACTTAATGGTATATTTTTTAATATTTAATTTAATAAAAATTATTTTAAGTAAACTAATTTAAATTATTAAGTAAAAGTTGTAAAGTAGGTCTTTCTGATTCTAATGATTGCAAAATTATTATTAATTTTTTTTTTGGTATTAAGGTGAAGCCTTGCACTTATCTTTATTCATAGTCATTAAGTAGTAACTACATGGAGTTACTGAATACAAAAAGAAATTCTATATATGTTATGGTTAAGACCAACACTTGTGGTCAGGGCTAACCATTAAACTGTTAACTATAAAACTATAACTCTAAATAATATAAATGTTACATGCAAGAGTAAGAGTTCAGACATATTTGTCTGTAGTTTAAATCTACTAGAGTGGTTAAGGTTCACCTAGATTAGCTGAAATTTTCTAAATAATGCTCATTATTCTAGTATATACTAGTAAGCTACTCATAGATTCCACTAACTATTTATATTATCAGAAGTTAATTATATTATTATAAAGAAAAGAAATCAAAAGTAAGATAAATTAAATAAGAAATAAAGTATAGTTAAAAAAATAAAAAGTAATGTTGATTAGATAAGCAAATAGATAAAAAAAGTTAACAGAATTATAAGGGTATAGCTAAGATAAATAATATAGATTAAATAGGTAAATAGATAAAGAAAAGTTAACAGAAATATATAAATATTGCTAGAAAAAAAAGTTATTATTGAGTTTATCAATGATTTTAGATATATTGAAAATGTAAATAAATCAGTTTCTAATACTATAGGTATAACAATATAAGTTTTTTAATAATATATTGGTTTGCTTGATCAAAGTATGACTTGTTAAGATTTTTTTTAAGTTAAGTAATAGTTGATTTAGAGATTTGGGTGATATTATAATAGGCAATAATTCTGATTAGAATTTGTAAATTGCTTATTTGAGAAGAGATTTTGTTTAATACTTCTTTGAGATTGAGATTAATAATTTTATTATTTGTTACTGCAGATTTAAAATAAATTTAAGATAGTAATAAAAGAAATAAGATATATATTTAGAATTAATAGATGTATTGTTTAGTTGGATAAAGGTTTGTTCAGATTGGTCAGCTAGTTTATAAAATTTTTTAAAAGATAAGAATGTATAAAATATTGTAAGATAAAAGTAGAAATATTTAAAGATAAATATATATATTGTTGAATAGGTATAGTATTAAAGGATTATTTAAAATAGTAAAAAGTTAGATTGTAGATATTATAAGTTGTTTTTGAATTAAGAATTTTATATTTTTTCAGATTGGTACAAGTGTATATATGGTGTATTACTGTTTTGGTAGCATAGTTTGTTTGGTCTTAAATGAATTGAATGATTTTTTTTTGTGGTAGGTTATAACAAAAATAATTTTAATTTAGTAGTTTA